AACCTCACCAGTGTAAAATGGGATATCGCCAACGATGGTATCTTTAATTCTTGCTGAGAGATCAGCTGCAAAACAGCCTTTCCCTGCAAGGACGTCCAACATGTGAGGCGTTCACACTCCTCACAAACACCAATACCAGCTGCTTCTGCTAACATCCACCGCAATTAATTGCACCCCTCCCCCCTTTTAGGGAGTGTTTTGGCTGTGAGATGATCGTGTTGGTTATCCACAAGGAAGGCAGCCCACAATGCAATGGGCTAATTAATGAAGGGAAAGTGTAAATGGGCGGCTACACGCCTTCATTCGACTCCTGCTGCATTGCGCTGGATTATTGGCAAAAGCGCCGAGCGTTGGTGTTTGCGAGGTGTCTGGACATCTCACATGCTGTAAGCCCTTGCAGCGAGAGCCAGTTTTGCAGGCGACGTCACCAAGCAGCTTTTGCTGTGATTATGGATGGGGTTGATCTTATAACTTGAAAGCAACTGAAGGAAATTTTACATGGAGAGGTGGCTGATTGATTTCGGGTTCAGAGCACAGGGCCAGCGCTGCTAACATTCTGAGTTCAAATCCAGGCAGCCACCCCCGATTAAACTATGGTCTCAAGCGCAGCGAGTTGATCGTCTCACCCTGTTCACCTGACCACGTAAAAAAAAAGAAAATCCCAAAGCAATCAAAAACAAAAACTCAATTTGGCAAACTTCCAGGCACGAGACAAAAATATTGATTCTATTGCCAAATGGCAAATATGTCTCCAGCAGGACATATGGGGTAGTGCAGCACCCCTCGTGTGGATAACAGGACCCTTGAAGTGAGCTGTGAAATTCCCTTCCGCGGACCATTCTAAGGTCGCGTGATGCACTGCTTCACGAGAGTTTCGATAATTATAAACGCGTCTCGTGAGATCGATAGCACAACTGGAATAACGCTGGGATAACGACAACAGTCTGGTAAAGCAGGAGGATACAAAGAAAAAGTAATAAACGAGAATAATGAACGTACCGTTATACACACCACCAACGAGAACATGCACGGGTTAGCTCCATGCTCAGTACCAAAAAACACTCCTGTTGCATTGCCTTAACATGCGTTACATTTACTCAAATAGAATAAAGCATGAACACCTTTGATCTATTCAGTACAATACCATATGAGAACGATGCAATGGTATTTGGATTCAGAGTGTCCGCGTGCCTGTATGACAGAGTACAAACAGAGGAGAGATATTTTGTTTGTGCTACAAGGACAAATGCTTTATTTGGGGAGTGAGGTGATTGACACCATGAGAAAGCGAGAAAACCACATTGCAGCTTGGATTCGTGAAGTGTTTAAATGCGAGTGCATCTCAAGACACCGTGCACAGACGGGAGACATATGCACATTATGGCATCATGAGGAAGAATATAAATTTGCTTTGAGGTAAAGGAGGAGGTCAGAAACAGGAGGATGTGAGGGGAAGAAGATAATGCAAATTGCAAATGAAGACACTGGATAGAGGGAGAGGAGGAGGAGAAGATGAAGGCCAGGCGCACATCTAAGGCTTCTGGATGACAGTTACGTCTGCCAGGGTATCCTTTTTGATGCTGTCGGAGCAAAAAGAGTCACGCGCTGCAAGATGGACAATGAGAGATGTAAAATGATTATCACCTTCTACACTCCACACATTACTTCAGGCCAGAGTGTGGAATTCAAAAACAGGCATATAAACAATACGAGTGTCCAAGTGTTCCCTTCACAGCAACACATTCGTTTGGCATCAATAAAACAAAAACCCATCCGCGCGCAAGAATCTCAGTAATCGGCACAACTGCACATCGCCGCGTTGCAATATCCTCCGTCTTCATTGAACACAAACGATGTGCAAAATTCGCAAACACTTTGAGAGCACGTACGAAACATCACGAGGGGTGTAGATTTTGAGCTCGTGATCTATACCGAGTGATTATTTGCTGGCAATGATATATTAAATATGAATGCGATGATAGAGTGCATGGCCAACGAGGCACAATGGGGACCACCCCCAGGTGATGTTCGAAATTATTTTAATGAGGAAACGGGCTGACAGGTATAGGGAGTCGTGTTTAGTTCTCGACGCGTGGCGTTTTAGCAAACAGCAAAATAAAACTGTGGCTTGAGCGGCAGGAGCGAGCCACTGATCGGCTCACCCACCACAGCCGCCCAGTTGCGAGCCTCATTTTTATAACGTGCGGCAAATCATAACGATCAAAAGACAAAAAGAGTTACGGTAGTGGGTGTCATTTGGAAGTTGCAGCCATTATACAGTAGGACTGTATACTAATTTTTGCCATGTTTTATGTGAAAAACCTCAAGAATTGGTGGCGGGTTTAATGATATTTATATTTACGTGATCTAACCCAAAACCTCCATTATGGATATTGGTTGCGAAAGCCTACGTGTTAAATTGTATAAGAATATAATTTCTTATTTGTACTTGAAGTGAAGTGTGCATTTAGTAATGTAAGGCCGCAGTAATGTATGTGAATGGAGATGTGAATCATTACTCTTAGTAGCGTGGCAGGGTTGCACACACTTTGATTTAACAATCCTATCTGAAATGTATAAGAATTTATACATATTATGTACTGAGTGCAGTAATGAAATTGGCTTAAGTGCTCGATAAAATATGAACGTGAGGAAGATTTAAGTGACGAGTATCAATGCATTCTCCACGATAAGTGAAACGCGCTTGCGATACGCATACAGTTATAAGCGTCAACGCTAAGCCTGCGCAGCATGAAAGGGGGAGTCGAGGCAGGGCCAAAATCCATGCCCGATTGCGGCAACTCCGTTTACAACAAAGTGCGCTGCTGTCCACCAAGGTGGCGGCGGTGTGTGTGCGTGTGGGCGTTCGGAGCACACGTTGCGCTGCCCACGCTGCGACTCTGTCGCGCTGGAGAACACGTGACACAAACACGTGCGTCGGGATATGGCTCGGAAAGGAGCAACCTCGTGGAGCTGCCGAATAAGCCCATGCGAGCACTAGGATGTTTGTGCGAACACATCTGAAGAATAATTGTTCCTCTGAGAAGTTGCGGAGAGTTTATTCGGTTGGCTCTGCAGTTTCATGCGCTCGCTTTGAAAATGCGCATGGATGGATATTTCGCTACAGGTCAGAAGGACGCCAGTAGGCTCGCTGCTCGGAATGCTGGGCTCTGTTGGATTTGACAATAACCTTTAGTCAAGGACAGTAGGGTAGTGAGGCAATTGGTGGCTCTTCTACAAATTAGAGTCAGGTTATGACATTAGCAAATGATTGCATTAAGGCAGGGTTTTACGGGAGCAAAGAAACCCATATATCAAGTGTTGACCAATTTTTATTGGCTGGAAGTGAATGAGGAAGGTCCAGACATACTGTCAATCACGTGATCCATGTCAAGAGATGGTTGCAAAGGGGAAAGTGGCAAAAGGCCCATGGGGGAGGGCCCATAAATGACCCATCATTCCGATATGTAGGAATAAACACTGTGAGACCTTTTACCAATGACCATTCAAAAACGCCGCTATATTACGACAGTGACAGACTATGCCGCACGGTATCCCAAGGCAGTGGCTCTCTTGACTATAGCAACAGTGCAGGTCACCGAAGCACTTGTGGGAAATTTGCTCCACTTGGTGGACGTCAGGAGATATTGTCTCCAATTTTCATCTCAGCGGACAGTTAAGGTCAGCTGTTTCATATCCAAACAGCAAATACATACATCTTATCACCCAAATGTAATAGATTATTCAAGGTTTAATGAGCATCAGCCGTTGCCTATCTCCAGCTGCATGAAGACTCCCGACTAAGTCACCACCCTACACGGCCCTGTGATGCCAAATTAATCTTGCCCCAGCACTTGAAGTTATCTCAAAATCCCATCTTCGTGGTGGCCATACTTTCAGGTATGTTCTCTCCTTACAGAGGAAAAATGTGTGTGCGTTCCCGTATGAATGTAGATATGCACGTGTTAATGTGTGTCTGTGTGTTAGGGGAGCAGCCGTGTAGTGGTTAGCATGCTGCGCTACGAACCTGGCGACCCGAGTTCGATTCCTGCTCACAGCCAACCCTCGTGATAATTATCTGACCCAGATCTGGGCCTCCCAGAGGTCGACACAGCCTCAAATGAGAACCTGTTGCAATGGGTAAACACTGCCTCTAGGGAAACAAAGGCGGCCGGGCGTGGTGCTGGCCACCCACCTCTTCGTGTGCTGCTCCGGCCTTCAGAGGTGCTCGCTAACAGCATTTGTTCCAACAGTCTATTACAGGCTACACGGGGGATCTTTGTATTTTTGTCTGTGTATGTGTAAATGTGGGGAGCGGTATTGTAGTGGTTAGTGCGCTGTACTATGAACCCGGTGACCTGAGTTCGATTCCCACTCATGGCCAACACCAGTGACGATTATCTGAACCAATCCTGAGGCTCCCCTAGATCGACTCAGCTTTAAATGAGGACCGAGTGTGATGTTTAAACATCAGCACTGGGGAGACAAAGATGGCCGGCCATGGTGCTGACCACACAACCCCTCGTGTACCGTCTTGGCATTCATCCATGCTCACTAACAGCACTTGCCCCAAAAGTCTGTTGAAGCTATCTGGGACATTTAAATTTTTTCGAGTGTGTACGTCTGGATTTGGCAGTGCAATGGTTCAAGCACAGCTCTTTGAACCCCGTGAATTAATATTCGTAATCGGGTATGGTGGCTGTTTGTGAAAGTGTGGCCTAAATTGTAATTTAGATCATTGGCTTAAAGAGTTGAGAAAAACATGTGTGGCCAGAAAATGTGTGATGACCACATTTTCTTAACTCCCTGAGTTGATGGTCTCAATGACAAAATAGGTTACACATTCAGTTTTGTTGAGCTGGTGGTCTGGATAAGCCCAATAGGTGCTGTAAAAGCAATGCTGTGCACCTTTGCGTGTTGTTAAATATATGTTGCCATACTGCATGCATACACGAATTAAGGTATAACAGAAGCGTATTAAAGGAAATGTAATGAAGCACCTGAGTGACTTTGTAGATGGACAGGGCCTGGGCCATGGATTCGCCATGAGACAGGATGAGCTCCAGCGTGCCATCTCCATCAAAATCCGTCGCCACTCCACCTGGCCCACAGCAAAATAACTGTTACCTTAGCAATCATCACTGTTAACATCATCAACAACAGTGGTATATTTTACAAAAAAATGAATTGCCATTTGAACGCATTTATTTACTGATGAATGAAAGTCCATTAATGTTGATATGAGCGCTTACCAGCGTGGCGTTGTAGTTAATCTCACTGCAATGTGTGCCGTGATTTAATTAGAGTAGATTCCATCTGCCATTTAATGACCCCCTCAAAGATGTTTTAACAAGAGAGGCAAACATCTTTGGCTGTACCAGTACCTGCCAAAAACACGCATGTTCAAGTACTGGGGGTGGGGGGGGGAAGTTTTCTTCTCACATTATAAGTATTTAACAACACGAGTGCGGTTTCATGGGTTGCGCTGCGTGTTAAGCATTTCTTCTCTCAAGCTCTTCACCACGCACCACCTCTTCATCTACTTCAACTCCTGCAAGCTGCCTGGCGCTCACCACAGTCTGCTGGATGGATGCGCTCGGCTAGCAAAGTCTCACAAGGGAGGGAACATCGTGGGAGTCTTTGGCGGTACCAAGCTTGTGATCATCTGAAACTAAACTTTGGTTTTGTTTTACCAGGTAAGGCCCACTGCAGAAGTGACCTGGCTATCACAAATGATAGTTCAACGAAGTGGCTTATCATGTGGACATTTTTCGCAGCCAAATGCTCTAAAGTTTAAATGCACGTTTCTAAATGTGAAGGGAAAACCGGAGGACACAGATAAACAATCCATGCGACCAATATGCAGGCGTCGGTCAGGATCGAACCCACGACCTCCTGTATATCAGGCGAGGTAGTTAACATCTCGCCACCATGGCGCCCCATGCGGAGCTCCACCTTACTACCCTGATGTCCCCAAGCTCTGTGGCTGCAGTTGTCACCAGGAGGGGGGTTAACTGCGATATTGGGATCTTTGCAGATTCTCCAGTAAGCGAGCCATATCCTCCCTCTAAGCGCTCAATCCCAGACAGCTTGGGTACGGCTAAAGCATACTTGATTGTAATGCACTGGATCCCAGATAGGCGAAGCATTTAGAGCGATTGTCAGTTTTGCCCTGATCAGCCTTGAAGCTGCATATTTTCACAGGCATTTGGTCGGATGCCTTTTGAAAGACCAAAACAACCCTTTCCCCACAACCACCATAAAATGTCGAAAAAAATCGACAACAAATAACCTCCCGCAGCTAACGCAGCTGGACAGATAAGTGGTGTCCTCCTCTGATGGTCAGTTTTAGAATTGATATTCTCTGGATATGGCTGTACATACCATATAGACTAGTGGTAACCTCATTAATCAGCATTTATGTGGGCACTGACATTCACAAAAAAACATTTACCATCTTCGGATCATGAAAAGGAATATTGCTAAAGGTGTCGAGAATAAGATGCATTCCTGTTCGGAGAATGCATCTTGTTTACGATGCTGTGGACACACGACCAATTAAGGGTACCCATATTTAATCTCAGCAGAAATTGGAAGATGAAATACACAAGAGTTCTGCGAAATCCATCATGTAACTATGATTTCATGCGCATCAAAAATGGGGGCCTGTTTAAGTACTATTCTGGTTACATTTGAAAGAAAATTATACCTCCAAGTTAGGTATTGTTATATGTCAGTGTCATTACATTTTACAATGTCCTAGATTGCAAGGATGCCTTTATTATGCGAGACAGTTATATAACTACTCTGCCATAAAAGTCACAAAAAGATGGTATCATTATTGGACAAAAGAGTTTGAATGCGCACCCTTTCAAAATGAAATTTCCTCATTTCTGAGGATTTCTCATATTCAAGTGACAATAATTTAGATTATATACCACACATGAACATACCATCAATTAAAATTGCTGTAATAATTAATTTGTTTATGCCATCCCTGAAAGCATTATTATTTCATCCTCTGGCCATCATCCCTTCTCACAATGTGGGCTGCCCAAGCTTACTTTTCCTAACTGCCAATAAGAGGTCTCGAACCTGTGTTTCTCTTCATGTCAGATTGTATTCAATGCTTTCATGAGTTCATGTATTCGATGCATTTGTCCAGCTAAGAAGAAATGCACTGATTGAAAAAAAAATCTTCTTGAGGCACAATGTTACTTTGATTTTCTATATCAAATGTTATTTTCCTAATGTAATGTTCAATCTTATCACAAACCGCTTTCGACAACTGAAATCATTGCCCCTTATTTGTGTTTTCTAGTTGCGTCCCTCCAAAAATTATTTACTTTTTGCTTCATCTAGAAATTAACAAGACACACACGGTTTGCATTTAATTACGCAGCATTCATTCCATTAAAAATTAACCTACGTATTTAAAAATGAATCAGGGGGTCTAAAATTAAATATTTTTATAAGATAATATACATATATAAAATTAAGCAGTCACATATGAAGCATGAGCTCCTCTCATTGCGCTGTTAAATCTAGGGGCATGCACCACTGTTAATCACTGTTTAATGCATGCGCAGCATTTCCCTAACACTTGCCGAGCCATTTGCCTATTAATTTATATGAGACATTATATGAGACATTAGGGGGGGGGGGGGTGTTATATTTTAGAGTACTGTTAAGCAACTGTAAGCATTATGAAGCACACGCTCCTTAGATCAAGGACAAGCAGTGTATATGTTCTTTTGCTGCTGCAATTCCTATATTATATCTCATTACTGGGTGGCACAATTGTACGAAAAATGAGGACGTGTGTGTATCTGGGGCAACAGCTCAGGATGGTAAATGATCACAACAATTACATCGGATGGCCAGATTAGTTAGTGTGTTGCTAAAAGACTGAATCTGATTTTAAAAATGCCTTTGTGAATAACTACTTACATATTAAATTTAAGATACACCACTCACTAAGGCTTGGAAATTATAAAGATTTTCCTGAATTACACCGAAAATGTCAATGCAAACACAGTTGTTTACCATTACTATTTGCACTGTATGACAATCCCTTTGCAAAATCCAACAATTTTAGGCGAACTTTTTTACGTGTCAAGAATCTCTAAAATACTTCCCTCGTAAGAGTAATTTGTGAGAGGATCGGCAAAAAGAGAGGCCACAGGCGCAAGCCACGGTGAGCTGCATTCCCTCGAGCTGCATTCCCCAGCTATAAATGCTCCGATACGTGTATTGTCTTTGTACTGTTCGCCTTTTGGCGTTCTCGGGTCTGACACTGATAGTGAGACTAGGCCATAAAGAAGGCCGTCTCTGGTGTAGGCCGTTTCAAAGACAATGCATATGTAGTGACATCAGGGATGTCACTGTATGGTGCCGGCCCGGGAGGGCCGTGGCGTATGATGTAATTACGTCGCAGACAGCACCGTGTGGGTTGCTGTGTGAGGCCGGCTCTAGCATAGCACGGCGTGCGATGCACCGTCATCGCAGACACCCCGTAGGTGGGTGCAGTACCAGCCCTAGCGGGGCTTGATGAGCGCTGAGATAACGCGGGCACCACGCTATGAGTGCGGGCTCCCACAAGGAGGAGCAGGAGAGTGTCAGCCCATGGACAGGGTTGCCCCGGGCCATGACACTCTGGTTCACCCCATAGACACGTTATCTGGAGTGTCCACAGAGAAGGCCCCAGGTGGGGGGGCTAGGGGGTGATCACGTGTCCGGGGAGAGCTCCCAAGAAGGATCGAGAGGGAGCTAGACCGCTTGCGAAGGTGGGCGGGGCCGAGGGCGGAGCCGGCCCCGACCCAGGAGGATATAACGGACTGGGGTCGCTTTGTTCTACAAGCTGGAAGCTCTACGTTCTACGTCCTACGTCTGAAAAGGCATCAACACGTAGCCGGGGACCCGAGTGAGGGTCCGACCCTTCGTAGCATAGTGTAGTTAGCTGGGTGGTCACCACCCCAGGCTGTATCTGGTAAAGGGGCAGTTACCCCTTGTATATACGTTCTACGAATAAATGTGTTGCCTCTGAAGAATAACGTCTGCCACTCAGTTGGACTCACTACAACTGGTGTCGGAAGTGGCCAACACGCCAGTCTATACAGCTAGCGGTAGACTATGTCTATGCGTCACAGACCACGTACCAGGACGTCGGACAGCGAGGAAGAGGACCTTGTGCCACCTACAGCTCAAGAGGATGCGGGGGAGATGCTGCCAGTGGAGCAGAGCGCCATCCGGGCGCGCGATGCTTCGCCGTCAGGGGAGGTGATCCTCCGGGAGGCGCACGGTCGCCTCATGGAGCTCCTTAATGCTGCGGCTTCGCTCCTCGCGGAAATTAGTCCCACGGTCTCGCCGGTGAAGGAGGGAGCAGCGATGCCACTCGTGGACGACACCTCTGCCGCCATTTCACAGCAGGCCAGAAATTTGGCGAAGCAGCCCACGTATTTGGCCGTCATTTTGTCGCCGGAGCGCTCAGCCCGCCAAACATGAAGACGCGCCGTCGCCGCCGATGGACATCCCGGCTCTCCGCCATCGGCTTCCTTTTATTAAAGAGTTTGCGGCTACCAGTGGCGACTGGTTGGCCTTCAAGCGGCGGTTCCTCACGAATGCCGACTTGGCGGGATGGACGGAGGCAGAGGCGCTGCGGGCATTACCTGCCGCCCTCGACGACGACGCCCTTGCGGCGTTTCTTGCCATCCCGCCACTGGAGAGGTCCACCCTTACGCAGGCTTTCGACCAGATGGCATCTATCTACGAGCCTCTGGCGAATACGCGCCACAAGTTTGCCACGCGACGGAAGGGGGAAACTGAGTCAGCTCTCAACCTTCCGTAGCGTGCTTTTGGCGCTAGCGAAAGCCACCTTCCCGAAAATGGACCACGATGGTATCGACGCGTTGGTCCTCGAGAGACTACTGGCCTTGGCAAAAACCCTCCACACCATTCTTCCAGCTGAAGATGATGCCGTCTTGTCTCTCAAGGTCGCTAAGTGCATCCAAGCCCAGCAACTTCTACAGCGGGACAGGGCGCAGGTGACGTGTGCCGCGTCCCGCACAGAGCCGGGGCCACCTGATGGAGTGGAGCCCGTTT